TCTGCGCGACCTAAAAGCCGAGATTGTCGAGTCCCGGCAAACCGTGAGGGGGAGGCGGTGACCTGGGTTTCCTGCAGGGAGATGCTGCCTTCGTAGCAGACTGTTGTGTTTCCCAGAGCAGGTTTTTCGTAACCCCCTTTCCCTGCGTTAATGTGAGCTTTCCCCCGCATTCAAATACCGTCGCCGCAGGAGCCGGCAGCTGCATTCTGTTTACAATGTAGAGCACTCGGCAGCGGGGCATCTGCCTGCTTTTTCTCCTCTGCCTCACACCGGCCCCGTCCGCTTCGGGATTACCGTTTAAAAAAAAAATAGCACGCTGGGCGAAGAGAGAGAGAGAGACAGAGAGAGAGAGAGACAGAGAGAGAGAGACAGAGAGAGGGTGGATAAGAGGGGGGAAGAGGGAGGCGACGCTCTTTCTCTCTCTCTCCGTGTGTGTGTGTGTGTGAGCTTTTTTTACGCATGACATGCAGGCGATCAGTGCAAGACCGAGAGGCTGCCTTGCCCGCCCCGTAATTCACTGAAGCCATGTTGAACAGATTTGGACGGGTGTCTCCGTTCTCTTGATTTGGGTGTGGTGTCAGCACACACAAATTCACAGACGTCTCAGTGCACTTTGGAAGATGAAATGCTTTCCCTGCCACTTCACCCACTCAATTAAATCTTCTCTCTCGGGCACAAATGCACTGATGTCCACCTCATCCTATGACCAAGGTATGGGATATTTCTTTCAGTGGCTTGTTGGGGAATTGGTAAATAATAATAATAATAATAATAATAATCCTTGCATTTGATACAGCGCCTTATCACGTCTTCGGGACGCCTCAAGTGCAGCGACCGCGTGTTTCGTGGGCGAAATGCGGCGGCCAATTGCGCACAGCAGCGTCCCCACAAACGGGGGTGGGTTGAGTGACCAATTTATAAATTTTTTTTTAAAAAAGACTGTTTCAGGTGATTATTTTTTTTAAAACGCAGCATCTCGGCGCATGCCCCCCCCCCCCCCCTTGATTCGGCGGCTGAGCGTGCTCGGGAGTGTACAGTTGAATGATCTTGCCTTGTGCCGTCAGGCGCATCGCCTTATGAAGGAAAATGATCGCTGCGCGGAAATGTTTCACTCCATTCGCCTCTCGATGTCTCTGCTTGCTCCACCAGCATCTGTTTGAGGGTTCAGTACAATTGTACGTCCTGTCACTTTCAAATCCAAGGCCTGTTTGACTCTATTTCTGGACTGTCGTGATGTTCAGACTCCGATGCAAAGGCGTGGGGCTCACTGACTCTTGACACGAAAGGATCTGTTCCAGTCCGAGCAAAATGTTGTAGATTGTAGGATTTAAATGTTTTTTTTTAGGACTTTCTGCATTTTATCACCAAGGGTCATGGTTTCAAATAATAATAATCCCTGCCTTTGATGTAGCCCCTTATCACGTCATTGAGGCGTTTTGAAGCGCTTCACAAAATATACTGTGACGTGTGGGTGGAACAAGGAAACTTGCCCAACATTTCATCCTGTCCTGTCCCGCCCGGGAATTGAACCCGGGTCCTCTCGCTTGCGAGGCGAGTGCTGTAACCCCTGAGCTACAGGACTCCACGGGATACCAGTCCATCAGAAAACATTTGCCCACGGAGACTGAAAATCAAAATGCGTTCGGTTGACTTACTTGATACTTGCTCTCTCACGGACTGCTGGCACCTCACCTCACCCCCTCTCTCCCCGCCGTCAGATCCCACCTAAAGACCTTCCTTTCCGATGGTGCTTATGGTCACCTTCCTCCTCCTTCCCCCCCCTCTCTCCTGGCTCGGGGTCAGACTCCGCCACCGGCAAGCGCTCTGGGACGCTACCCTGGGCGAAGGGCGCGACATAAATGCGAGTCGCTGCTGCGTGCGAGCAGACCCCGTTCCTGCACCCGGTTCCCCAGGTTGCAGGTCCCGTGATGCGTTCCCCTGGCCCCTCTTTTTTTGTTTGAGATGGAAGCCCTGCAAATCCCGTGCTTGTTTTTGACCGCTTGATGTGCTTCAATGAAAGCAAAGCTCCCTCTCATGGCAGTAAACAGACAAGGCAGCGCTTTATTTTAGTCCCAATTATAAGAAACCAGGGGTGCAACATCGGGAGCTGAATTCATTAATTCTCGAGTCAAATAACTCGAGGGGAATTGGTTGCGGGTGTGTGTGGGGTGGGGGCATTGGTGTGTGTTCTCAACAGCACGCAGACTTCATCTACTGAATTCTTTAGCGTTTCTGTTTAGGTTTTATAGCGGTATCTTCCTCGCTGAGAAGCCAGTGGGTCGATAGGGCTTTGGAATCTTTTTGATGTGACTGCCGGCTTGACGGTAGATGAAGGCGTCAGTGGGCTGCTCTTGTGGGACCTTTGTATTTGCCGGATGTCGCTGGTGGTAATTTGGCGGCTTTGTTTGCCTTCAAAACACAGTCATAGCACTTCGCAGAAAATCCTACATGAGCGCTTCAAAGCTGCCCTCTGGCACTAAAGGTGACAATTATTCACCGCGGCTTCTTTAGGCATCTGCTCTGCTTTGCTCCAAACAGCAAGTGCTCAAGCCCTGAACCCTGTTGTTTTGTTGCTGAGAGTTAGTAGTAGTAGTAGTAGTAGCAATAATAATAATCCTCGCATTTGACCCGGCGCCTTATCACATCTTCGAGACGTCTCAAAGCGCTTCACGGGATACACTGTAAAGTGAATTACCTGTGTATTTTGTGGGCGAAACGCGGCAGCCAATTGCGCACAGCAGCGTTCCCCCACAAACAGCCGTGGATTGAATTGACCAATTCATTATTCTTTTTGAGGACTTATTATTTGTCATCGGGGAGTCAAGCTGAGAGTAGTTGACAAACCTAACTGGCACGACTAACTCCAGTGCCCTAGTTATTGATCAGAATGGTAACCGAGACTGATGGGAGGGAATAAGTTGCATTCCTGGGCGAGGAAAGTGGGGAAATGATTCATAATCGGTTGCTAATGACATAGACGGAACTGGTTTGTGGGCGTTTCTGGTCCCAGGTGTTTGAGGGAGCCAGATGGACGCCAGCGCCAAACCATTAACTGAAGTCTTACACAACTGGGTCCTTTTTTTAAATGAGACGGTTGACTAAGAGCGCCAGTTATTGACGTAGTGCTGATATTAATCGTTGCCTGTTGGACATGATTTGCAGCAAATTCGGGGGAAAAAAAAGTCTCATCGAAGTGAAAAGTGGGAAGGGCTATTTGTGCCTCGAGTGGATCTTCAGGTTTTACAAGGAACCTTTTCAGGTGTGCGCACTTGGACAGTGGGGAGAGGGAGTGATGGCGGAGGGCGGGGGGGAGAGAGTGTGAAAGTAGGGGAAAGAGAGTGTGAGTGACAGATGATTGACCAGAGAGAGGGAGAGAGAGAGAGCATGGGGAAGAAGGGGAGGGAAAGAAACGGAGAGACGGAAGGAGAGAGTGTATGGGAGGGGGGTGCGGGGAAGAGAGCGATTTAGAGAGGGGGGGGGGGGAGAGAGAGTGATTGAGAGAGCGTGGAGAGTGAGACGTGCTTCCGACCTGCAAAAAGTGCTGTGTGAATATTATGCTTCTCGGGCGGAAGCGTAAAAAGATTGCTTCTGAGGCTCGGGGACGTTCCTCAAGTGAGCACTGCTGAAAGGTTGGGCCAACCTGATCGCGAGGCTGTTGAAGCTCAGTGCGTTGCTAGCTCATCCACCTTCTTCGCGGCAAACAACGCTACCGGGGTTGACTGGCGGGATCAATTCCTCTTTGCCAGACTCGGGCATCGGAACCCGTTTGTGCTAAGATGGTGAACAGAGGCCAGCGTGGATAACTTGCGCACCAACAACACTGTGCGTCACACTGCCTGCTGTCAGGGGTTTGATGTATGAAAGCTTTACAATTTCAGGCCATGCAATTCTCAAGTTGCCCTGATCTCTTTAAAGGGTATTACCGCTAAATCTTTTGAGATTGAGCTTACCCGGGCGCGTTGTAAAGTGTTGGTTTGCTCGGGAGCGTGCAAGCTAGATGTGCGTTCGAGCTGTTCGCAACTGGGAGAGACTTCAGACAGTCCACAACAACCTGCGTTTACATTATAATAATAATAATAATATTAATAATAATAATACATAGCACCCTTTCCAGTGGGATAGCATCCCTTAGTCTTTGTTGAGGCCTCGATGCAGGATCTCCAAAGTCTGGAGTTAATTGTCTCTCATTCTCTGTGAATGCTGCTGTTGTATTGTGTTCTCATCCGTTCACATCAGGTACTGACAGTGAATCACAGTGTGCCGAGCGTGGGCTAATTGATCGTGATACATCAGCAAAATGCCTCTTTCTTTGCCTTGAACATTGCTAATTCTACCTCCCGGATGATGCTTCTGTTCTTTCCACGAAACGCTAATTTGAAATAGATTGCGATCAGACAATGATAGATGTTTAATGTGTTGTACATGGAGGGGTGGGGTGGGGGCAGGGATTAAGGTATCATCTGGAAGGGCGCTGGCTGAATTCCATCCCACAGTACCTCTGCTTTGCCCTCTCCTATTTGACTGTGCCTTCGGCCACCCTACTACCCTTACCCTCCCCGCCCACCACCCCTCCTGATCCCAACCACCAGCTCGGGTGCAGATCCCTGACTGTCCAGCGCCTTTGGGAGGTCCTCCTGACGTGAAAGGCGCCGTGTAAATGTGAGTTGTTGTTGAATTAATGCAGGACGACCCCAGCGCACTGTCAGGCCATTAGAGAATGGCTTGAGGGACTGTCATGGTTTGTTTGTCTGGCACATTCTGGTGACAAGCAAGATGGAGTAAGCGGGGAAATTCTTAAAGTACTCTAGAGTGGCCATGATGTTCCACACGTGTCAGACACCTGGCTGACCAAATAAAATGCCTACTTATCAGAATTTGTATGTGAGTTACAGCACACCAACATGCGGCGTTTGAATGTAAGCGTCGTCGTCTTGCAGAAGCTGCAGTTTGTTCAATGCTTTATTCTCCCCCCCCCTCATCTCCTTCTCTCTGTTTTACAGCTGATATTATTTCTACAGTCGAATTCAACCACTCCGGAGAACTGCTCGCAACTGGGGACAAGGGGGGTAGAGTTGTGATATTTCAACAGGAGCAAGAGGTGAGTGCATCACAGAACACTTGTACAGTAAGGGAACAGGGCAAAATCTTGGGCAAGTTTCCTTACTCCACACGCCTCTGTTTACCCAACAGTAAGTAGGAACCGGTGGTTAGTCAATTAGCAGATCTCTTTTCCAGGGCTAATAATAATTCCTTCAAATTTCAAAAAATAATTATTTGGTCACTCAATCCATGACTAATATCAATATCCGGGACTGGTAAATTGTCACATCAATTGCCTAAAATGTTTCCACCAGAACTGTTTGTGGGATAAAATTGCTGTGCGAAATTGGCCATCGCATTTCGCCCACAAAATGTACAGTGAATTCACTTTATTGTACACTCTGTGAAGTGCTTTGAGACGTCTAAATGACATGATAATGCGCCATATCAAATGCAAGGATTATTATTATTATATCTAAAGTGCAACTCACCGCTTTGTAGACTTTCACTGCAAGCAAACTAACTCAATTTTGCGATGCTTGCTTGAAAATGAACAGGCGTAAAAAAAATATCGCCCACGCAGTTAATTTGCACTCTCTAAATTTCCCCCCTCCTCCCTCACAGGCTATTAAAGTGTAGCTGCCATGGTTATTTGCTCAGCACTCGAACTTGCATTTCCCCCTTTGTCTCCCAACCCCCTCCCATTGCCCCCTTTCATCTTTTACAGAGCAAAAGCCAGCCTCACTGCAGAGGAGAATATAATGTTTACAGTACGTTTCAGAGCCACGAACCAGAATTCGACTACTTAAAAAGCTTAGAAATCGAAGAAAAGATCAATAAAATCAGGTGGTTACCCCAACAAAATGCAGCACAATTCCTGCTATCTACAAACGGTAAGTGCCTTCCTGGGAGGATAACGGGGTCCGGGAGATCTCCTACACATTGCCCGAAAATACATCTGCGCTCAGAACAGTCCTGAGAATAGCCAACGATCCTATGGACGCACGGGCACCACTGCATGACCGTTTGAGGGCGTTTCGCTGATACGACGCTGCATCAAATGCAACTACAGCGGAAGCCGCTTAAGACGGACACACGTCGCGACCGACAGTTTTGTCCGGCTTAAGAACCGTCCGAGGTCGACCGATGTTCCTCCCGCCCAGAGGACCAGCAGCGCTTCCTCCTTCCCTCCCATCGATGTTTCCGGCTAAAGCAGCTTCCACTGTGTTTATGTCCCGGTGCTCCTGGTTGCGAGTGCGTTTCTCTGTTGCTTGTGCTGCTGTGGATTGCCCCGTGCGGTGCGAACGCAGCGGGGTTAGTGCACTGTGCTGCTCTCTGTGGTACTTAGTTCTGGAATATAAACACACGTCTGCTCACCCGCTGGTAGTTCCTTCCAAGCGAGAGCTTCCCAGTGTGCACGGCCCATTTGTGTTGGGCTGCACGGGGATTGGAGCTATTCCAAACTGATTCATGTCAGGCATCTGTGACGTGCTTGGCCTTCCTCCACCATGCTGGGCGCAATTTCAAACCAGGTCCCAGAGGGGAGAAGGGCGGTGTTTGATATCGTCCACTCCTCTTTAAGGATCCATTTGAAGGGCATGTGATGTTTTGGTCAGAAATGGATTGAAGCAGTGTTTTCACATTGGCACAGGCTGCCTAGCAATGATGCTTAACCCTCTAGTTGCTTCCCACAGGGGCAGGTGTGGCTGTGATTTTTTGTCACCCTCTTAGCCGTCTTTGATCTCAATTTATTTTTACAAAGAGCGCAGTGCCAGTTCCTTCTCCTTTTCCAAAAGCCTCATCACTAAAGGGACGTCTCTGGTTGACTCATAGCTGGAGCCGAAAGAGCTTTCTCTTTTAGTGCCAGTCATGTGGTTGTGGAACCTTGGTACAAATAACTCCAGGAAATGAAGCCAGTGGTTTGTGACTGAGCGAATGTCCATACGTTTCATTTGCCCAAACCTGGGTGTTTGTGTTATTGTGTCTGTGTTATTGTGAGAGAGGATCCTCCCCAGGTTACACAGACAGTCAGTGTTCAAATTTTGGACTGGGCTTGCGTGCTACACGCAGCTGTTAAAGACGGAAGCATTTGGCACAAAAGAGGAAATTGAGCTTGTTTGGGTCCAGCGTGGGCAAAGAAGGAGCTGTGGGAGTTCCATTTTATGTCTCGGATTCAATTTCTTTCAGTGTTTGTCCGCTCATAACTGTTCGTAAGAGCCTTCTGCGCTGTTATGGAGTCCTGTAGCTCAGAGGTAAGAGCACTCGCCTTGCAAGCGAGAGGACTCGTGTTTGTTTCCCGGCAGGTCAGGGCGAAACCTTAGACTTTTTTCTTACTCCACCTCTGTTTACCCAGCAGTAAGTCGGAACCCAGTTGTTTGTCGATTGGCGGATCGACAAATACAATAATAAATAATTTGGTCATTCAATCCATGACTGTGTGTGGGACACTGCTGTGCGCCATTGGTTGCTGCCTTTTGTCCACAAAATCCACAGTCACTCCACTTTACAGCACATTCTGTGAAGCGCTTTTGAGACATCTTGACGACGTGATAAAGCGCTGTGTCAAATGTAAGGGTTATTATATGCCAATGACATGTGAAGAGACAAAGCATTGAAGTTTTTTAATTTATTTTTATTTCAATCAGATAAAACTATAAAGTTGTGGAAAATCAGTGAAAGAGACAAACGACCAGAGGGCTACAACTTGAAGGAGGAGGATGGCAGATATAGGGACCCCACCACAGTCACTACACTTAAGGTAATGCAGTGTATTTCTTTTTAAAAGCTACTTTTGACGTATGGGTCATGTTTAGTAACGGAAATGTTTTCCGGGGAATAGGGCGAGAGATTAAAATTGTATTTTAAAACAAAATTGGGTGGGAAGGGAGTTAAATGGCTAATTGGAGAAACCTGTCACTTCCTCTCTCCCCCTCCCTCCGTCTTGCCCAACTTTAGGAAGGATGTCAGGGCATTGGAGAGGGTGCAAAGGAGATTTCCCAGGATGGTACCAGAAATGAGGGACTTCAGTTATCAGGAGAGGCGAGAGAAGCTGGAATTATTCTCCTTGAAGCAGAGAAGGTTAAGAGGAGCTTAATAGAAGTTGTTAGGATCTGGAATGCATTGCCTGAAAGGCTGGTGGAAGCCGATTCGATAACAACTGTTAAGAAAGAAGTAGATCATTATTGGGGATGACAAGTTTGCAGGGCTATAGGGAGAGAACGGGGGAGTGGGATTGATTTGGAAGCTCTTTTCAAAAAGCCGGCACAGACAGGGTGGGCTGAATGGCCTCCTTCTGTGCTGTATGATTCTATGCTCTCCAAAACCGTGCCCGTGAGCTGAACGGTATGCTTCCCTTTGCATTCAAACTATGTTATTTTTCTCCCCTTTCCCAGGTGCCAGTATTCAAACCGATGGATTTAATGGTGGAAGCAAGTCCTCGAAGAATATTCGCGAACGCCCACACTTATCACATAAACTCTATTTCTGTCAATAGTGACTATGAAACTTACTTATCGGCAGACGATCTTAGGATTAACCTGTGGCATTTAGAAATCACCGACCGAAGTTTTAGTATCCTTTGTCATTGAAGCTCGGTGAAGTCTCCTGTTTGTGGGTCCTCGCTGGGATTGTAAATTGGGTTCTTTGCTAGCACCAGCATCAATGGACTAAATGACCTTCTGCACTGTAATTTCTGTTAGAGTGAGTTGGGTTTGCTTATGTTTTCACGAGGAAGGAATGCTCAACAGGTAACCGAGCTGCCGCCTATAGTTATCAAGGATCCAGACCCCCGCGTGAAGGGTGGGCGTAACTTGCACATAAATGCAAGTTCTTGTTGTTATTGTCCTTGACGGCCTTTCGCCTAGATATTGTAGATATCAAGCCTGCCAACATGGAGGAGCTGACTGAAGTGATTACAGCAGCAGAGTTCCACCCCAATCAGTGCAACACATTTGTATACAGCAGTAGCAAGGGAACCATTCGATTGTGTGACATGCGGACAGCAGCCCTGTGTGACAAACACGCCAAATGTAGGTCCCTGGCGCTTTGAGTGGTCTCGAAGACGTGTTAAGGTGCTATATCAAATGCAAGGATTAATATTATTATTATCTGGTCTGTACACTGTAAATGTATAGATTGCTTTGTGTATACAAGATTCAGAGTAATGCAGAAAGTCAATTCACTTTACAGTATATTCTGTGAAGCGCTTTGAGACGTCTCGAAGACGTGATATGCCGCTATATCAAATGCAAGGATTATTATTGTTGTTTCCTATCAAGCGCTTTGAGTGAGTCCTCCTGAAGTGAAGACGTATCATAACTGCGAGGAATATTATTCCGAGGGTTAACCAATGCCAAATTTTGTTCTCCGCAGTGTTTGAAGAGCCAGAAGATCCAAGTAACAGGTCGTTTTTCTCTGAAATCATTTCTTCAATATCAGACGTTAAATTCAGTCACAGTGGTCGCTATATGATGACGAGAGATTACCTATCAGTCAAAATCTGGGACTTAAATATGGAAAGCAGGCCAGTGGAAACGTACCAGGTACTCAGATCTGTGCAACGACCAGACCGAGACTCATTGTGTGTTAGAAGTGACGCCAAAGCCTTATCTGTTGATATCAGCCTTTCGGGTCCAACCTTCATGTCCAAGTATTCCAAGGATGTACCCTGAGAGAGACCAAAGCCTCTCCCACTGTTCAAGCTGCTCCAACCACACGTAATGGTCAAAAAAAAAAGGGCTCTTTCTCTTCTCTTATCCCAGGACAAAGTAGCAACAACGATAAATTATATTTACACAGCGCCTTTCACTTCGGGAAGACGTCACAAGCTGCATGACAGGCAGGGATTTGGACCCGAGCTGCGGGTAGGGATCAAGAAGGATAGGGTTAGGAGGGTGACTGAAGCCATGGTCAAACAGAAGGGAGTGAGACGAAGGGACCAGGATGGAGTTCCAAAGGGTGGGGGCAGAGAGGCTGAAGGTCTGACTGCCGATGGTGTGGAGGGGCCGGTCAGAGGACATGGAGCAGATCTTTAGGACGTTCTCCCGACGTGAAAGGCGCTGTGTAAATGTAATTTGTTGTTTATTTCTTCTTTCTTCCCCCCCACTTTTTTGCCCCTCCCAACACAACATCTCCCCCCCACCCCGTCCCCAACACAACATCGGTGCGTATCTAAATTTCATTTGGGGTGATTATTGTGCTCCATGTTCTCGGTGTTTGAAATGACAGGCCGATCATTTGAAACAATGCTCGCGTGTGACTTCCTCATTAATTCTGCGTCAATTATTGGCCAGGGAAGTCCAACTAGTGAATTTCTCGGTGTCCCAGGGTTTTCCTGAACACACCCCACCTGACTTGCTACGTACGCTCTTTGTCCTTGCAGGTGCACGAATACCTTCGGAGCAAGCTGTGCTCTCTGTACGAAAACGACTGCATCTTTGACAAGTTTGAGTGCTGTTGGAACGGTTGCGATAGGTAAAGCTTATTTATTGAGCGCCTGACGGTGGCGGAGCACGTCGCTGAGCCTGGGGGAGGGAGTGGGAGAGGTGACCGTAAGCAGAATGAAAAGGAAGGTCTTTAGGCGGGGAGGGAGAGGGGGGGGTAAGGCAGAGGGATCGAGAGAGAGAGAGTTACAGAGTTCGATCAGGAAGGTCTCTTGATATTCCTGTATCAGCCCGAAAGTGCCCTAACTTCAGTGTGCGATTCCCATTCCCTCTTCTACGTGAGATGGTTATTTTAAGTGTGTACAGTAGGAACTGCACTGTGTAACTGCTCCAAAGCACTTACATTTGGCGCCTGACTCATCGCTTCGTATTTTTTTTCCCCCTTTAAATAACCAAACCGGTTGTATCATTGTGGGAAGGCCACCTGAGCGCTGGCGTTCTCACTGAATGAAGCCCATTCCCAAGCGACCGACGCTTCAGGTCGAGTGCAGCCTTTGCCCATCGTTTCCCAAGCCAATGTTCTCCCTTCCGGTCCTGAAGTATCCTCTGCTGAGCAGTCGGTCCGAGTTCCACGTGCACGGTGCGATTTCTGCCACCTTGCTCAAGTGTCTTATCGGGCGGAGGAGGATGTTGGGGCAAGGATTATTATTTTTTTTTAACTGTTTGCAAAGACGACTTGAGCGACTTGAGGTGCGTGTAAATGGAGCCCGAGAGAAGGTTTCTAGTGTAACGGCGCCCCCTACGTGTGAGGTCCTGGTGTTGCCCACTAACCGCCCGTAAACGTGGGGTTCTCTTTTCGCAGCGTTGTCATGACTGGGTCGTACAACAATTTCTTCAGAATGTTTGACCGAAACACAAAACGGGACATTACGCTAGAAGCCTCGCGGGAGAACAGCAAACCGCGCGCGGTCCTCAAACCGCGTCGCGTGTGTTCGGGGGGGAAGAGAAAGAAGGACGAGATCAGCGTGGACAGCCTGGACTTCAACAAGAAGATCCTGCACACGGCCTGGCACCCGAAAGAGAATATTATTGCCGTCGCCACAACCAACAACCTGTACATATTCCAGGACAAAGTCAATTAAAACCGGGGAGGGGGCAGGGCAGAACAAGTCTCGCTTGTCCCTGCAGGGTTCCGATAGTGTAGCCTTTGTATCTTGTAAGAGAGAGAGAGAGAGAGAGGGGTCCATTCTGGTCCCCCCCTCACCTCCGCCCAGCCCCGCTCCGCCCACCTCCCCAATCTCTTAAATCAGTGCCATTTCTAATGCACTCATGCGTGACATGACCGCAGAGTTCCTTTCACCCCCCCACCCCATCCCTCCTCCTCCTCCTCTCTCCGCCCTCTCCCCCACCCTCGGATTGGAAACCGCCGTCGCTAGCCATTCAATGGGAAGAGGGGGGGGGGAAGGAGGGAGGGAGGCAGCCATTCGTTTTTGTTTTCTTCCCAAATCCCGCATCGACCGCATTAGCAGAAAGAATCATTTTACTCCGTGAAGTGTTTATTTAAGACGCTCCTTTGCCTTCCATTGTGGTGAGGTCTCAGGGCAGAGGAAATCGCCTCCTCCCAGTCCATAATATGGCAATGTTTTACTGTGTATCTTCATTACTGTAATGTGCCCCTCGCCCCTCCCTCCGCCCTGTCCTTTTTATCTACTGTACAGCTTGTTGGTGATATTGCTTGTAACATTCCTCCTCTGACCTCACAGATTCCTCTTCCTGGCCCTGTTGGGAGTGTTCTAGACGTGCGGAGGTCAGTCAGGTCAGGTCAGGTGGCTTTTGTTGCACACAGATGATTTGAACAACTGACTGTAATCTCTAGCCATGCCATTTGTGGCACAAAAAAGACCTACTGAATAAAAGTGATATAAAACAAAAAAAAAGCTCCTTACTTGACGCTTTTCTTTTTGGGATCAACTGTAAACTGTTAAATCCCGTGTAATTTTTTTTTTATAAAAAAACCAATGCATTAAAAAGTGTGTGTCTGATACCCGTAGGCTGTACTGATGTTTGCTGTGTAAGAATCTAGATCTGAGTATTTTTTTCTATCCTGTGCAAATAAACTTGTGGATACCAGTGGGCTTAATAGTAAGCCCATCCTCTGGTGAAGGTGATCGTGCTCCCTTGGCTGGGTGGCAGACAGAAAGTAATAGTAGTAATAATCCTTTCATTTGATAAAGCATCTCATCACATCTTCGAGATGTCTCAAAGCGCTTCACAGAATATACTGTAAAGTGAATTGACTTTATGTTTTGCGGGCGAAACGCAGCAGCCAATTGCGCACAGCGGCGTCCCCACAAACAGTCGTGGTTTAAGTGACCGCATTGTTTTTTAATTTATTTCTTTGAAGGCATTATTACTCTGTGATTGTCAACTTCGAAATGTGTGAGCAGTCAGTCTGCAGTGATTATCCCACTCCCTGCGGTGAGGGAAGCTGGCAGGTGCTGAACACCTTATCCTGTTGGCAACACTGAAGTTGCGGACTTGCCAAGTGTGGAATAGCTGAATGTAAAGCTGCAGGAGTATAAGCTCCTGACCTTACATACGCCATTGGGTTCCAGACACCAGGTGCTGGCCGCATCCAGGATACAAATTCTAAGATTTGCGTACCTTTTCCTTTCCAGTAAAGGGAAGAGGAAATGGTTCTATACAAGTGGAAGTGGCTTGCTTTGTTTAACTGCCAATCCATGCGGAGGAGGAGTGAGAAGACAAGAGCGTTCCCATCCCCTCCTCGTCCTGGACACCGTGAACTGAGCAACGCATTGAAGTAATAAGCCTTGAAGGTAAGGTAATTCTTGTTTTGTTTCCCTCCAAACACAAAAGTGGAGTGGCTTGCACTGATTCTTGTAAAATGAGGAAGAGAAACCTTTTGAGGGAAGCGGAGACGAACCACCGCCAATTGACCACAGTGACTGAATCGAGACGTTTAATAGGGTGTAAAATTCGTTTGAACGGGATTCCTGTCGAGGGACGTAATTTATTTTTACGAGTTCAGTTCCCGCAGGATGGAGCTTCCCTGATTTTTAGACCTAGAAGATGGACGTGACAGCCAAGTTGAGCTTAGTCCCATTTAATGCAGTACTGAATGCTGACAAGTCAGGATGGTCAAATGCTTTGCGTGACCGGCGCTAAGTCAAATCCCAAGTTGTTGGAGATATCAAACCAAGGTACCCGCCAGTTTGTGTGGATTTTTACAGATCCGATTGGAAGAGCGATTTCTCACTGTTCTGGGCCTGGATTCATTGTCCGTTCGTTCGTTCGCTTTTTTTTCGTGGCCGTTTGCACGGCCTCGCTGCCGTGTCGACCCGCGAAGCGGCTCAAGTCGTCTTGATGCTTTTATCGTAATGCCGCGATGGACCGCTCTTGGCTCGGCTCTGGGCCGCGCCCTGCGTGCGGGAATACGCCGACTCGGAATGACGCCCCGATTTCTACCCGCGCCGTCGGCGATCGGGTCCGCGCGCGCTGGCGCTTGGGTTGCTGGTGTCTCAGTGACGCGAGCATTGTCACGGGAGGAGCTGGTTCGGTCGCAGTGTTTTTTACCCCCCCCCCCCCACCCCACCCCGCGACGAGCGAAAGGCACTCGATCCATCAAAGCAAATCAAAGCAGGAGCTGCGATGGGCGGGTGGTACGGGGGTTGGGGGGTACGGGACGGTCAGCATTTGCTCACCCAATGGGAGTCAGCAGCAGTAGTAGTAATCGTGGCTGGTTGGGGGGTGGGGGGGGGCAAGGTAAAGGGTTTGGGAGGGAAGCAGAAAAAAAAGTTATGAATGGGAGTAACGCGTTGACGTCATGGTGCGTGATGTCTTCCCAGGCTCTCAACGTGCTCTACGTCCTCAGCGTGCTCTACGTCCTCCCCCTCCCCCACACGCACGCTGTTGGCCGTCGGGGGAGACGCGGTGACGTCATCCCAGCCTCTGGACGTGCCCTACGTCGTCCTCCTCCTCCTCCTCCCCCGCCCCGCCCCCTCCCCCTCCCTCCGCTGTTGGCAGTTGGGGAGTCCGCGGGTGGCGGCGCGAGGCTCGTCCCAACCGTCGCTTCCCGACCGTCGCCCTCGCGCGCTCTCTCTCTGCCCCGCCCGCCCGCCATGGCCGCCTCACAGCCGCCGCCGCCCCCGCCGACCAACCAAGAAGAAGCGGGACTGAACGGTGAGTCGCTCAAGACAGGGTCGGGGGGCGGGCGGGGGGGGGGGGGTTGTTTATCGCCGGTTGACGTCGCCCTCAGAGAGAAAAAAAAACAAACCGCCGTCAGATGCGACCGAGACGTCGAGGCCTCGGCGGAGGGGGAATCGCCGGGGCGTCCTTTACCGAGGGGACAAGCCTCCTCCCCGGTCTCCGGGGGAGTGTTGTGGGGGGGGGGGGGGGTCTGCGCTCCCGCCGTCGTCGTCCCTCTTGTTTTCAAAGGGTGGGGGGGGGAATGGGCGGGGAGCGTGTGATTGACGGCCGCCTCGGCCAATGGGTGGCGAGGCCCGAGGTGATCGACGGGCTGAGTGTGGAGGGGCGGAGCGAGAGGCCACGCTGAGAGGCCGATTGACGCGCCCGCCGGCCAATCGGGAGGCGCCGCGCCGCGTCCGGTCACGTGGCCCGGGTCCGCCGGGCCAATGGGGGGTGGGTGGGTGGGCGGGGCCTCCCGCGGATGTCAACAACCCCTACACACACACACACACATACACACACACAGGACCTCTTGTCAACGTGCAGACTGGAGCGTCGCCTGCACATGGGGGGGGGGGGTGGGGGGGGGAGCCACACGTCCTCACCAGCCTGAGCTGATAATCTCTCGTCTCAAGTTATTCTGGTGCCTGCCTCGGAGCGCGTCAGAACACTTCAGCAGCCCGAGCCCGATTTGCCGCAGCAGCAGCAACAACAACAACAACAGCAGCAACAACAGCAACAACAACAACAACCTGCCCGCAAAACGCACAGTCAATTCGCTTTGTGGCGCACGTGGCTTTGTGGCCCCCCCCCCCCCCCCCCCCCCCCCCAGCGAAGCGCTTTTGAGGAGACGTCTCGGAAGAGCGCTGCGTCAAGCGCAAGGTTTATTATTTATTGTCGGTACTTCCTGTCCGGCCGCGGAGCAAACGCGGCGCAACCTGCCGCGCAGTGCAGATTTACGGTTTTTTTTTTACACACGCGTGCGCTGTGTTTAATCCTAATGATGATAGTGCTTGCAGTCCATACGGCGCCTTCTCAAGTCATCGAGGCGCCTCGAAGCGCGTCACAGGACGCACTGTAAAGTGGGGTGACTGTGTGTTTTGTGGGCGAAACGCGGCAGCCACTTGTGCACGGCGCCGTCCCCTTGTGGATTGAGCGACCAAATTATTTATTTGTTTTGAAGGGACTATTATGCCGGGAAAAGCGATCTGCCAGTCGACTAACAACCGGTTCCATTTTGTGTTCACTGTTAACCTCTTGTCTGTGTAAATACTGAAATACTCTGATCTGAGAAGATTGATGTTAATTTGCAAATCATATTTTAATCCCTGAAAATTAATTAGTAAAATGTGCAGAAATTGCCATACCGTTGAACAAGATAACCTAATAACATTGTAATTAAGTGAAATTATACTGTACAATCTCGGCTGTATTCATAACCTATTAACAATTTGCTGAGAGCTGTACCTTTTTGGAGTTTCATGGTCAGCTTTTGGGTTATTGTTGTCCTGCCATTTAAAGCATTAACTTTGTTTTTGTGCAGTGACCCGTCTTAGGGTCACAGCCTTATTTTGCACAGCTTTACGGATTTGTTCACAATTCACAGCTGTTCGCAGAATTAAGCAAATTAGGTATGACATCAATAACTCAATTAATAAAAATGTCTTGTTTGACGTTTTATGGTATCAGATGCTTTTTAGTTTGATTTGAAATATGTTAAGGTTCATTGTTATTCATTTAAATTTTTTTTACCAGGTGTTATCAAAAGAATCACACAGTTAATGTTATCAAAATCCTGTTCCTAAAGCCAGAGAATCTACACATCTGTATAGTTGGCAAACATCTCTTCACATACAGCAGAATGTTTGAGTGCTATTGTTCAGGCTTATCCAAGTCAAGTTGTTACCTCTCTGACCTACTTTCCTCCTACTTACCTGCCCGTACCCTCCGTTCCTCTGGCTCCGGTCTGCTCCACATCCCCCGCCCCAACCGCCCTACCATCAGCCTCTCAGCCCCGAGGCTCTGGAACTCCATCCCCAGTGCCTTCGCCTCTTCCTCTCTTTCCTCCTTCAAGGCCGGTCTCAAGACCTTTCTCTTTGACCGTGCCTTCAGCTCCGCTCTCGACTCTCTACCCCCTCCTCGCTCCCTCCCTTCCCTCACCATTTCCCCCCAATGCTCGGGTCCTGACCCAACTGTCCAGCGCCTCGGGATGTCCTCCCGACGTGAAAGGCGCTCTATAAATGGAATCTTCTTGTTGGTGTTGTGACTGGGGACACAATAGTGCTTCAAGCCTTGGAGTGTGTTTATAAGTGTCCAATTGGACTAACAGCCAATTAGTTTGAGTGACATTTTGTGTAATAGTATTTAACCAGAGGAGATTTCCAACAAAATCTGATATTGTTTTTTTTAATGCTCGCTGCATCAGTGATGATGCACATCGAGTAGATTTTATGACCGATTGGAAGTTATTGAGATTATAGAACCTGAAGAACCGACTATAAAGAAATTCAAGCAGTTCAGGTCATCTCGTATAAAAGCAAAATTGTGCTTTGAGTTGCTGCCTGTTGGTCTTCTGCCCAACAGATGTTTGTTTGGTTGGAACGGATTTTGTTTTCTACTTTAATATATCTGACGTTACCATTTCATTGGTCAAGAGTTATCACCTTTTTCTAATGCTAAACTTATTTCGTCGGATGTTATCACAAAATAATAACTTACATTTTTGCTGTGTTTAACAATCGAATGAAACAATTATCTCAAACACTAAGTAACTTCATTCACTGCATTTTCTAAAGAAGCAGTGGATGTTACAGTGTTGATCTTTTACAAAGTACAACGTGTCAAAAATGCTTCCTCGAAAAGGAGTTGGTGTGAAAAAGAAATAAACAGTACAAACCTTTGTTTTTACTCATGTGATTACTACCTAATGTGCCCAGAACCAGTTTGTTTCAAAAATGTAGGAAGCTACATATGAATACTCTTTATACGGTTTGATCTTTTCCCATTTAGGAGAAACTTGATGTAGTACGACTATCGGGCCAGTATTTTGGAAGGATGAGATGATATGGACCAAATTGCCTTTTGGTGTAGACAGTGGATCACAATTACTTGTTATAGATTACTTTGTGCTCCGTTGTATTGTATCTCTCAATGTGAAATCATTCAGTGCAGCAAAGGCAGGAAAGTTGTGATTCACGACTTGCAATACAATTATATATATATAATATATTGTACAGTTGCTGTTTCTGTGTAATATGGATGTCAACTAAGTTAAGCATTGAAACATGTTCACATGTTGAGTTCACCGTGTCATTTGGAATTTCTGTCTTGTTTTAAAGATTGAGCTGGTTTGATCATGAGACCAAACTATGATTAAAATGCGTGAATATCCTGAATTCATTTGAATACATAACATTTTTGCTATAACGACCAGAGAAGTAACAAAAGTGCCTGTCGCATGAACTCCCACACTGTGCCTAAGTTGCTATCTTAAAACAAAATGTCGAAATATAACTTGAGTAATTTTGTGGTTGCAGGTTCCTGGGTAGAGTTGCAGATGAATAACAATGGCAACGACAGCACTGGACGAAATGGAGGATTGGAGCATGTGCCCTCCTCCTCCTCCATCCACAATGAGGATATGGAGCAAATCCTTTTGGATGCTCAGCACGAATCGGGTCAGAATAGCTCTCGGGGAAGTTCTAACTGTGACAGGTACAGAAGTGGCAGAAACTGCAAAACATAAATGAGAAAACGTGCTGGTAATTTTTTTTTAAAAATCCTGTATGTTAACACAAGAAAAAAAGTGGGTTAGTATGTGAAAGAAGATTCCTGTTCATATATGCGGCCCCTCTAATGATTGTAGATGGATTACGTACACTGTACACTCCAGGACTGTTATTCTTTCATCAGTAACAAAGACAAAATAGCGAAAGTCACAAAGGAGATGAAATGCACCAGTTTGTTTTATAGTGAGTAGTATAAACAGAATGATTGTTTCAATTTTTGTGTTACTGCCTGAGTGTATGTAAAGACAACTCAGCCACGGAGTTTCGATCCAGCGTGGTTCCTCTTTCTGTCTTGCGTGCCAACCTGCGAATTTGCCCCTTGAGATGGGTTGCTTGCAGACGCAGACGGAGAGGATGCTGGAAAATTATCTTGTTTCACAAAGCGCTACGTTTGTGGTACAAACTTTATAGAAAGCTCAGTGGCAGTTGCTGTGGTTACACCTGGCACGGACTACTACCAAATGACTATCTTGCTGGCAGGGTTGATAAGCTCCGCAGGTCATGTTAACTTCTCCTTATTGAATACATTTGGTATCCATCCCACTGACAGTATAAGATTGTGGATTTGGCTGCATCCCACCAAGCTAAATTAAATCTTAAGTGTTATACTAAATAAAATTGCATTTGTGTAGCGCCCTTCGCATCGAGAGGATGTCCCAAAGCGCTGCATAGTCTGAGATTTGGACCCGAGCTGGGGCGGAGGGGCGAGGAGATTGCTATCAGGGAGGGTGGAGAGAGGGGAGGGTAGGGGTAGGAGGGTAGCCGAAGGCAAGGTCGAAGAGACGGGTCTTGGGACATGCCTTGAAGGAGGCAAGGGAGGGAGCAAGGTGAAGGGAATGCGGGATGGAGTACCAAAGGATGGGGGCAAAGAGGCTGAAGGCCTGACTGCCGATGGTGGGGTGGGCCGGGCGGAGTAAGTATTAGCGTTTGTTGGATCTAGTATCTGAATTACCAAGTTTTGACTTCCTAACATTTTTAACATAGTTTCCATGGCTCCAGTTACATTGTTTTCTGTACCTTTTTTTTAGCCCTCCTCGTTCACAGACACCCCAGTTGGGTCAGGCAACCTTTGAAGTAGAGTTGCAAGGGAGCAAAGACAGCAGTACACAGGTAAGTTACGCGTGTATTGTAGGATTGGCTGATGTTCTTGGTTTTGTGCAGCAAAACCTCCTTCGGACTATTAATTTTATGCTAAAGATGCTTTTTTTTAAAATTGAGAGTTAATTTGCAGGATTCGTAAACAAGATTTAAATTTTATATGTACCGGAATAGATGTCTCACCAACCCACTGTTCTCAAACGATCTGATGATGATTACCAGGTGCCTTCTTTTGTTGCATTGTTAATTGCATTTGGTGCAGCACCCGCATTTTACGTTCAGAGGATGTCCCAAAGCGCTTCACGGGATGCTTTGTAAAGTGGAGTGACTGTATTTTGTTGGAAGTTGGAAATGAGATTGGAGTCTAAGTGGAGTTCCTGTGAGACAGTAGTTGCAAACAGTATTTACTGTCTTAACGCAATGCAACCTGCAAATCTCCCCATAGTAGTAACTTCAGTAACCTTTGAAGTTGCAATACAGTAGAACCTTAATGGGAGAGCTAGAACTGCTATACTACAGTGACAGGCTACATCCCAGTGGGAGAAATTTCTCTTGAACTGTGTATTTTGTGTGATGATGAGCTGACACCCTCACTGTTTCCAAATCAACATTGAGGATCAGCTTTAATACACATTTACTACGAATGAAGAAAATTCAATTCAATTTTAAAATATTCCCTTCTCTAAGGAATTAAATTACTTTTAATTCCTTTAGAGAAATTAATTGAAAGCTTAGTCACTACCCACAGAAACATCCAAACATCTTAAAGTCATCCAGTATCATAGTTTTTGTTACGCCCATATTTATCATATGGATGAGACTGCTGTTGTCTGTAGGTGTGGTTCTTATCAGCTAACAGCAGTGTAACATACTGGTAAATAAACCTAATTAAAAGATTCTCATACACTTTGTAGTTTCGCTTTCGCTGTGTGTAAAATAACTGGAAAGTAATGAAATTATAGCATGTGACTGTAAACCTCTCTCATCGATCTTTTAACTCTTTTGATACTGGTGGCATTTCTGCTTTCATTTAAGATTATCATTTACCATTTGTGTTGTTGCTGGTGGATTAGCACTGTGAGTGCGGCTTGCACAGACAGATTGCACCAGCTTCATTCAGTAAGGCGGGTACTTTTATTCTTAACTTTAATAAAATTAAAAGCATATCTTAATTGATTTCCAAATGAAACTCCTAAGTATTGGTGATAGGAAGAGTTAATAACAATTGGCTGCTGCGTTTGATCCACAAAATGTGCAGTCAATTCACTTTACAATATATTCTGTGAAGCGCTTTGAGATGAATTAAGGCACTATATCAATTGCAAGGATTATTATTATAATGATTATATTAACTCAACAGCCCTTTCCCTACAGTTACAGCCTTAAATTAGAAAGCTCTGTGTTAAACTGACGCTGTGCGTATCTCGGGCACACAAGATTTTTTATTCTTTAATTTCATTTGTAGTCTGAAGACGATGCTTTGGAGAAAGACCGAGAGGCGGATGTCATGATAAAGAGGAGCACTGAATGGATTTCTGACTGGTCGAGTCGACCTGAAAACATTCCTCCAAAGTAAGTAGTGCTTCGACTGGGTGTATGGAGTCAATGTGGTGTGCAGTCACATGTAGTGTTGGTTGATATCCCAACCTAGGTGATGGCTCGGTGATGAATTCAAACATGAATTGAATTGGAAACTGATTTCACTGGAATCTAACAATTCCAGCAGTGACGAATGGGAAGTAAATTGCTTGTTGGGTCAGCTTCTCTTGTGCTTATTGTGGGATGGTTTCCACAGCAGCTCCGGCACTTTAAAGATGCCTAAGGCGTTACAGATCAACTGTAGCAAACGGCTTTGGTGTAAACTGTCCTGACCAGTCTCTGCCGATGATTGCGAGCCACTTGGGATTCATTGTATGTTTATCTTTACATGATAGTTACGTTGTTTACCATGCAGTTTGCTATCAATGCAGACGTTACGTAATTAGGAAATGCTATTAGTGGGCAAACTGAATTTAATGTGCTCCCAGAATAAAATGGATTAGATTAATTAATTCTGCCAAACACTGAAAAATGGATGAGTTATGTTTCTTCTTTTAATTTCTTTCCTTAGGGAGTTTCAGTTCAAGCATCCCAAGCGGTCAGTTACACTGAGTATGAGGAAGACAGGGGCAATGAAGAAGGGAGGCATTTTTTCTGCTGAATTTCTGAAAATTTTCATCCCCTCCCTGCTTCTATCCCATATTTTGGCGCTTGGTCTGGGGTAAGCTTTAATGATGCTCTCAAAAGATTTCTTTAAAACCTTTACAATCTGTTCTTGAAGCATTCCCATTGCAGGTTTATTAAGGGCTTTTTGACGTTATACCACTAATGAGGATAAATGTCTCCCGGATCGAGTGCATTTGTACTGCTCTCACTTAATGTGGTTATAATGCTTGTGGGTGCAAGACTGGGGTCTTGGGGCATTGGGGCAACACTGACCACAAAATAATGGTGTCTTACATTGTTCTCTGAGTTCTAATCGCAGCATCAATTAACCAGTGACACTTGTAATGAGTTTCACGAGCTCAACAACCTACGACTTACACAAGAAGGTCCAGTGCCAGTTCCTCATTGTACCGAAGGTATCCTTCAGGTTTCGTAGCAGGACAAGTCTATGTGAACAGCTGATGATGAAGGAGGCTGTGTGGGAGTTGAAAGCCCATCAGAGAATAAACCATAAAGCAAGTGAAGCACTTTAAAATGTCTATATCATTTCAAGACCACCACAGATCCATTTTGAATCAGTAACAAGATGTTCTGGGATTTTAGGAAGTTGATGGAAGTTTATTTGAGGGCAAGTAAAGATGGAGGTTCAGGAGCAAAATTAGAGAACAAAGACGTGGTGCTCAAGAGGAAAATTACAGTCTTCAGAGCATTCCGAGCTACAATTTCGTTCCTGATGGGAAATGAGAGTGGAAATGCGAGTTTTGCTGTAGATATTTGACTCTAAATGTAGTTATTCAGGAAAATTGTATGCCAGTGGTTAACAACATCAAGTTTAGTATTATACTCTTAGTAGACTGAGGGGAAAGATAAATTCATTTCTATCATTCGAAAAAGACATTTTGATTGCACCAAAACTTGTACGTAGAATGCTCTTCAACAAGAAGCAAAAGAGGAGTATTTAATTCCCATATGAAGTACATTTTAAATTCCAGTGGATGAAGAACCACAATCTTAAATTGCCTTTAAGTTGCACTCAGAGAATGGGTTATATAGCTAGTGAAGAATCCACCCCTAATTTCTGTCTATGACAGCCTGAAACTGTTCCATAAATAAAAGCAGTCTTGACTTCAATTGCCCTTTCTGGGTAATCCATTCCAGCTGTTGGTTAGTTACTCTGTGTGCATGGCTTTCCTCTGGGTAAAGAAATACTATTTTGATTTCCGCTGTTTCTTGTTCTGCTGCCTTCTGGACTGCTGTTTCCGAAAATATTCTTTCGGGTTTCTCATTTCTTATTCTGTTAAAGCATTTCATATGCTTCAATAACATGTGTCTGCTAATGCTCTTACTTGAATGCATACTAAGATTGGGATCGCAACGTATTTATGTTTTATTTCTCTGGAGCACAGTATCCTTGGCACCAGCTCAATGAAAACAAAATGAAAAACTTTTGTTTTATTTGGTTAGGCAAGTTTCCTCACTCCACATCCTCTTTTTACATAGAAGTAATTAGGAACCCAGTTGTTAGTCGATTGGCGGATCGCTTTTGGGGGAATAATAATCCCTTAAAAAAAGAATTAATATAATTTGGTCATTCAATCCATGACTGTTTGTGGGACATAATTAGTGCGTTTTTCTCACAAGATATACAGTCAAATCACTTTATAATATATCTGTTAATGCGCAAATGCATTATTACTATTATTGTAATGTACTCACAGTTTGGGTTATTTTTATTTGGTAATTCCTGTCTGTGAACAGGCTTGACTAAGGAATTATAAATGCGCTTAAGACCAGTTAAACCTTTTATGCAAAGAAGTCTTTAACCCGCAAGTGTTATTTTGTAGGCCCTTTGTTTATTAGACAGATAAAAGCTTCAGAATTTTACTTTTTAATATAAAAGTGTTCCTGAAGTGCATTGTGAAAGGTTGGATTGTGGTTTCAAAGTTTCTACAAATTGAGGTCCTTTTGTGCCTGTGATGTATAACATGTTGCACCAGCTTGAATTAGGTTTGAAGTTGCCTTTGTGAGACCGGTGCTATTCAGGGCATAATTGTATTGTCTCATGAGCAGATATCGGCACGCTTGGCTATACAGTATGTTATTTCTACACTTCATTTGGTCACATTTTTTAGAACCTTTTAAATATTTGATGGTGTGCGAAAACGAAAAGATAACATCCTGACCAGATACCCTTTTGTTTTAGGGTCTACATTGGAAAAAGACTAATCACGTCGTCGTCGTCTAGTACCTTCTGACAGCCTGACTGGGATTTACACGTGATCCGTGAAATTACGTTGACGTCCCATCAGTGCATTTGAATCGAAGGAAAAAAGAAGTTTCTCAAGCACAAAGCAGAACATCCCTTTTTTTTTCACTTACGTGAAGAAATTCTCTGCTTCGGGCTGCCAGAGCATGACTTGTGTTTTTAGAGCACTAACAGGCTTATTCACCACTTCCCCCACTCCTCCACTATGACTTGTTACAGTATGTGAGCCACGCAATGAGTTATAATTGCCTTCAATTCATGGTTTGCTCGCGAGTCAAATGAATCCTGCAGCAAACCGTCACTTGCGGAGCAATTCTGCTGCGCCTTTGGTGGGAGGTGAAACGAGGAGATTCTTCTGGGAGGGAACTCGATGGGCCTCTCTCCTCTCTTTCCTGCCCGTGTATCTATGTTTCTTTCGGCTGTTTAAAACAGGATGTTGTAAAACAGAGTGAAATTAACTTGTACACCTCGCAGTCTTAAGCACCAGGAGGAAGACACACCTTATCTGATTTTTGAAGTCCCCAAATTTTCATGCTGCGCAGCTGATGTGCAAAACACTTGAACTGACAAGTGAAAAGAAACAAAAGTTTGACATTGGTGGTACTTAACAGAAATTCTACACCCGATCTGATTTATTCCAGGGTCTGACCTTCAAGAAATATTGGATTCTTTCAAATTCATATTATTCCCTCCCTAAATCTGGGTTTTCTACTTCCCCCACTAAAGCCACAACAACAACTTCTTGCATTTATATAGCGTCGTTCACGCCGGGCGGTATCTCGGAGCAGTAGGTAGATAAGCAGCCTTGTCCATGACCCATCCAGCAAGGACCTGGATTTTTTTTTAAAAATACAAAGTGAAACATTTCTAGGAAATCAAAGAGAAAAGATGAAGAACCTAACCCTTGCGCTCAGCTAGATTTATAGGCATAAAATTCCATCCTTCCTCTTTCACACCAGCCTTGAATCCCTGTTCACGGAGTTTCAAAGCCCAGGGTTGAAGGCAGGGAATAGAAACTTAAGGCACTCAGTTCTTTATTCCTTTCAAATTTCTTTCTGCTGTTTGTTATGCGATTAATTCCACTCTGATTTTGAACCACCTATATTTTAGGAAAAGATATAGAATCAAATATCATGAAATTTCTAAGTGCACAAAGGAAAGGGGAGTGACATTTTGGAGTTCTGAACAGTGAAATAGGATTTTGTTATGAAAGGATCTTGCTGTAGAAGGTGATGAACCAATAAACTGTGGATGCTGAACTCTGAAATGCTGCAGAAAGTGATCCATGGGACTACCAGCATCTGAAAGAGTCTAACACTCCATGAGAACCTTAGAAAAATGAAAAAAAGGCCATTTAGACCCATCAAACTCACTCTTTCCAAGATTATTCTAATCCTGTTTGCATTTGGATTATGCAAAATCGATGCTACTGTGGCCTTTATTGAACCGCAGCTATTTCCCGGGTGAACACCCAAAGCAGTCTGAAGCAGTATTTTTTTTAATCTCCATCTAACACCTAAGTTTAAATCGTATAATAGTGTTCATAAGCAAGCTCTTCTGCAGTTCATTTTTAAAGCAGTTGATCAGCTGGTTTTGTTGGGCGTCTGTTCCACGTTTCCACTACTTTTTTGGCAGGGAAAAACATTCTTATCGCTCGCCGCTTGAGGCTTTTTAATTTTAAATGTCTGCTTTGTATTACTGCTCCCACAGGCAAAGTCAGATAAGTCTACTTACATCCACATCACCTATGTGTTCCATCACTTTCAAGATCTAGTTGAAGTCATCCCTCCTCAGTACGTGTTCAGCTACATAAGCCTCTCCTCACAACTGACAGCTTTAAGTTTGGGAATTATTCTGGTCGTTCTGTGAACCTTTTTTGAACAGTAAGGTTACCAAACTGCACGCCTGGCCCCAGCCCCGATCTATGTAAGAGTAGAACATTTTGTATTGCATTCGGGATGCAATCCATCCAGCGCTCGACTCGTTTTGTTGAGGGTAGTTTCACATTGACAGGAAACCTTCAATAATTCCTCCCTTTGCTCATAAACACTCCCTTTATTTTGTGTCCATGTCAGTGTTTCATTTCCCCAATGTGTGGATTACTTTGCAGTTATCTACATTCAAATCCATTTGCCATTCCTTAGCCCACTTACTGAATTGATCCAAATCTTATATTCTGTTTTATTCCCTTGCTCAGTACTATTCACTTCTGTAGTTTCGCAGCAAATGTTATAAGATTACAAGACAGGATTGTTTTCAAGTCACTTATGAATAGTATATACAGCTGAAGGCCCAGTCTACATCTGGTCACTGCTCCAGTCATTTCCTCAATTAATTCGCATAGATTTATTGGGCACAACTAGTGAATGAATGTCCTCATTGAGTCAACCCTCTTTAGGTGTTCAGTGACAGCAGCTGTTAGAATCCTCTCGAGTATTTTCCCCATAATCTTTTTTAAGAGAACCAAAGTTCGCTGAGTGAAGGCCGCCCAGTGAAGTATCTTCCTTCGTCTCAGTCTCTCGTTGAGAAATTAGTCGCTTTAATTTCTCTCTCAAAAAGAATGCCATTCCTCGAGTTAAAAACTAACATTTTTTTTGCCAGTGATTACTTTTAATTCCATAGGGGCTTCATTCTACTGGGAAGAGAACTTTTACAAATGAGGTATCCCAAAAGCTTCTTTGGAAAGCGAAGCGATTGATTTATCAGAAGAAAATGTCAGGCTTTTGACTTTACTAACGCACTAGTAAACTCGATTGCAAGTCGCAAATAATTGTTTGCCCAAACTGAGTGTAAATAAAACAAATTGTATGCATGCTTGCACATTTCTACGTCACGTATACAGCATTTGGCTGCATCAAGGACTTTTACGAAAAGGTGAACCATTTAAAACACACGTCTTTTTGGAATATTTTTCGGATGAGAACGTTCGATTTGCAAATAAGGGTTTCAAAGAAAAAAGAAGAAAACCCAGTGAATTCATTGAAGTTAACTGAGCCAAAGTAATTATCCACAGATGGAACATTTAATTTTAGGTCGCACTTTGTATTGTGTGTGCAGATAAGTGTAAAATTAGTAGCATTATCAGTTTTGTGCCATTAAAGCTGTTCAGAAAAAAAATCTTTGCTTTTTGCACGTTTCATTTTTCACGATGTCTCTCTGTTTGTGGTTGTGTGGATACGGTCTGGAAATAGCCTAAAGAGGTTACTGCTGAGATTAGGAGGTCTTCAAGGGCTTCGAGACGTCCTCCCACTGTGAAAGGTGCTACACAAATGTGCTTTAAATGCTTTTAAGTGTGTAACGTACTCCTCAAGAACACGGCGCAGCGTTTTCTGTCGGCTGCTCAAACCTGATTCATCCTGAACTTTGCCGTGATGGTGGAGAGTCAACGGCAGTACATCTTACCTGGGACAGGAGTAAAGTGCGGAGTGTTGGGTTCGCGGAAGCTGTGCGAGCGGGGAAATCGTCGTTGCTCGCCCATTAGTGAACCACGATAGAAATACCAGCCGGGTTGCACTCCTGACGTCTGTTTGCAGGACTCCCCGCCCTAACCTGAGCCCCCGCGACGAATTCCTGGTAAGTACTGTACCTTTCAAATTCACGTTTTTAATATTTCGAACGCAACTACACATCGTTCGTTTTTAAATCCCTAAAGTGAAAAATGCGTCTCTCAACGGCAGCCAAACAAGTCTCCGCAGTTTTCCGCGAAGCCCATCAAAATCCCCCGCAAGATTTGTCAAACTTCCCGCGTTTTGCGCAAACATTTCCACAATTTTCTAATGGCCCGGCGTATTACTTCAGCGATTAATCCCAAGTTGAGCTCTACCATCTTTTTCGCACGAGATAGATTGCGCACAATGTCTCGTCTTCGCTCTCAATTGAAGGATTGACGTGGTACGTGCAAAGGATGTGGAGAAGACAGGCATTTGAGATAAACGTAAGAATTATTATTATACATATGTACTGTAAGTAAGTAACCAGCAGAAGTCACTGCTGAGAGCGTCGCTGCCGCTTGATATCCCCAGCAAATATTTTTTTTAGTGTGAAATGAAAATGGTTTCTAGGGCAGTGTCTCTGAATCTCAGTCGTCGAATGCATAAATTTAAATACATGCCTCATAACAAGTGACTCGAGCGATTAAGAATTCCTTCTGAAAGTGCGGAAGGGTATCTGGTGTTGCCGTAACCTCTGATTGCTAACGTCAGTTATTTTGACTTGGAATCAATGTGACGAGTGACTTTCTCTGTGAACAGTCGATCAGCCCCAGTTGAAAAAGTCCTCCGGGAACCATTGGTGCTTCGAGCTGTGTGTCTGTAAACCAATATCCCAGACCGGTACATTTGCTGAAAGTATCTTCGTCACGACTGTTTGTGCGACATTGTCGTGTGGAATTGGCTGCTGTGTTTCACCCACAGAATATACAGTCTTCACAGTATATTCTGTGTAGCGCTTTGAGATGTCTCAACGATGCGATAAGAGGCTATTTTAAATGCAAGGATTATCATTATTATTATCGCACTTTTGCTGAATCTGCTTTTTCTTGGTATCGTGAACTATATTCTCATCCAAAGGTGAGATGAGGCAAAGACAGCCTCCTGTTCCCAGAGCTAAACCATCGCCGTTTCAAATACATTTATACACTGGGATAAGTTTTCTTTTTATCTCTTCCTTCTGGTGAATCATAGGATCATTCAGCCCAGAAGGAGGCCATTCGGCCTATCGTGTCTGTGGCGGCTCTTTGAAAAGAGCTATCCAATTCAACCCCACTCCCCCGCGCTCTCCCCATAGCCCTGCAAATGTGTCCTCCCCAAATAATTCTACTTCTCTCTTAAAAGTTGGGATCGAATCGGCTTCCACCGCCCCTCTGGGGCAACGCATTCCAGAACCGAACAACTCGCTGTGTGAGAACATTTCTCCTCGCCTGCCCTCTGCTTCTTTTAACGACTATTTTAAATCGGGGGTCGTCGGGGGTTACGGACCCAGACGCCAGTGGAAACAACCGAAGGAAGCGCTTGGGCTTTCGTTGCACAACTTGGTGTAAGAATAACCTCTCCTTTGGGGGAACTGCAGTCTGGACCCGGCAATGGCTTTGTGCTCTCTGTGTGAAATGCGATTGTTTGGCGGCGGCTGAACAAATCTCTCCCTCGGCTGAGAGTAAAGTTAGCAGGAGTTTGTTGGGGTTGATTTTGGCTGTAGGGAGATTCAGGTCAATTCCTGCCATTAGCATTTGTTCCTGAGTTTACCCCGTGCATTCGGGGCAGCTGCCAAGCCCCGACTGTGTACTCCCACAGGGAATCCAGAGCACTCTAGGATCTTGCAACACAGAAGGAGGCCATTCGGCCCATCGTACCTCTTTGAAAGAGCGAACAACTAGTCCCCACTCTTACCCCACAGCCAATCTTTCCTTTTTAAGTACCGATCTGAATCCCGTTTAGAAATCTGCTTCCACCGCCCTTTCTGGACTGTAACACTGCTCTGGTTAAAAAAAAAATGTCTCCTCTTCTCCCCATCTGGTTCTCTTACAATTATCTTAAATCTGTGTCCTCCGGTTTCCGATCCACCCTCCGGAGGGAAACAGCTCCTCGCTGTCTGCTCTACAGAGTGTCGCGCCCTCTCATATTGCAAACACGGTTTTATTAACGCAAAACAGGAACGCTGGCAAAGCTTCAAACTCGCTCTTAAACTCAGCAGGTTTCTCTCTCTCTCTCTCCCTCCCCCTCCCTCCCTCCCTCCTCTCTCTCTCTCTGTCCCTCCCTCCCATAATATAATGCGCAGAAAAAAAGGTCAAATTAAATTCGCAAAGTCCAGTGATTGTCACTGTGAACAGCAAGACATGACAGCTCTGATGAAGGTTACGCAGAGAAGTTGCAGAGGGAAATGTAA